GGACCTTGCTTCTCCACGAACCCTCTTGCTTTTTGACCTGGTAGATGGTTCACAGTCAGGGAACCATTATCCCCTGACCCTAGACTCTGTACTACCTCCAAGGCAGGCGGGAAAGACTGATAGGGTTCTTGATCATGTCTTGCAGGAGGAACCAGTGGCTGGCACACAAGAAAACAAAGCCAAGCTGTTCATGGTCGCAGTGAAGCAAGCATTGAGCCAAGCCAACTTTGACACCTTTACGCAGGCCCTGCAGCACTACAAGGGCTCTGATGACTTTGAAGCCCTTGTGGCTTCTCTCACCTGCCTCTTTGCTGAAGACCCCAACAAGCACAATCTATTTAAAGGTGTCATAGCCTTCAAAATGCTGCTATAGGGATAACAACACAGTGGTGGGTTGGGACTGGTTAGGAGGGTTACTAGGGCCCAGGGTTGTCTCTGCTTCACAGAAAAAGGGCCTGGTGGGTAGGCCATGATCCATAGAATCGTTAGCCCATCAGCACAAAGTATGGGGCCCATAGACTCAAACGTGTACTCCCCACAGGCTTCTACCAGTTTGTACGACCCCACCACAAGCAGCAGTTTGAAGACATCTGCTTCCAGTTAACAGGCCAAGGCTGTGGCTACCAGGCAGGAGGCCTCTCCTTCCAAGAACAAGCACAATCAGCTGGAGATGCCACCTGTGAGCAAAACCTTAGCCTAGACTCTCAATCTCACATTTGAAAAGCAGTTTATCCCTAGGTTTTTGCTTGGCTAAATTAGCCAAGCATGATTCTCCATCTCTGTTGCCCAAGGATAGCCGTATTTGTTGGATGAACTCTGTCTCCTAGCCTAGGCATCCAAGAGACCTGCCCTTGGGGAATTCATGCTGGAGTCATCTGGGTACCTGCCCTACTGTTCTTGTGATGGAATAGCTAAGCTAGCTGGTCCACAGAGGCAGTGCAGTGCTAATACAGGGCAGGTGTGACAGAGGGACTTCATTGATTGGGAAAATTCATCTTTTGGGCTTGATATTCATTGAGGTTCTTAGTGTCTGCATTTATGCTCTTGAGCTGGACCCATTGTCTGGGTCCAAGTTAGTTGGGTGTGTCTGTGACGTGTGCCTGGTGTCCGGTTCACCTTCCTGTCTGAGGATTATTAGGTCTAGTCTCAGGAGCACATTTCTCCAGGAAGGAGAGTCTGAGCCTAAACCAATCTTGTCTGAAGGTGTAGGTAGACAGCTGGATTCTGGCGAGCACCTGAACCAAGGGAAGCCTCACCTGTCTGCCCATCTGCCACCTAAAGGTACTTGGCTTCTCAAGACCCCCAGGTGGGTGGGACTTAAAAATCCTTGAAGAGTCTTATTGGACTGCTTGATTCTTAAGTTTGTCCTGACCAGCTGACAGACTCTGTAGGGATATCCGGAAGGAAGTGGAGTAGGGAGGTACTCCCAAACCGACAGACTCCCAGTAACCTCTCTCCTCCAGGAGAACCCAGCAGTTCTTCAAAAGTGGGATGTACAGCAGAAAAACCTGGCCAGGCTGCTGTGAGTACCTATCTATCTGACGTCCGCAAGGCTCTGGGATCTACAGGCTGCAGCCAGCTTATGACAGCTCTGAGGGCATACAAACAGGATGATGACCTGAGCAAGGCACTGGCTGTGGTAGCAGCACTGACCACTGCAAAACCTGAACACTTATCCCTATTACAGAGTATGTAGTCCTTGGATGTAGGGCACAGGTTCTGGGGAAAGGGCAGTGTGGGGGCTATGTGTGATAGTGCAGAACCTGAGCAAAAGTACCCCACAGGGTTTGGCATGTTTGTGCGTCCCCACCACAAGCCTCACTTCCTGCAGACCTGTGCAGACCTCATGGGCCTGCCTACCACGAGCGGTGGCTTGGAGCTGCCAGGTCCCAGGGAGGAGAGCACAACTGTGCCTTCTGAGCTTGCCCATGAGGACAAAAAACCAGGTGCGAGCCTCCTTCCACCCTTACCGTCACCCTGAGCCCCTCCTGGCACCTAGGAGCTAACAGGAGGGAAACATAAGCTCTCTGCTCGTCGTTGTCTGCAGGTCCTTCAGCGTCCAAGAAGCCTGAGAAGACCCAGAGTAAGATCTCATCCTTCCTTAGACAGAGGCCAAACCAGAGTGTAAGGTCTGATGATACTACCTCAGCGCCGACGACACATACGAAGCCTGAGTGGAGTAAGCAATAAGGGCTACAGGGACTGTTGGTTATGGCAGGCGCTGAAATTGTGTGTGCTGACTTAGACCTCCTGCAGCTGCATTTGTGTGTCCGACCTGTGCAACTGAAGACACAGTGCTTTTCCAGTGCCCCTCCTGTGATTTCTACCGCTGCCGGGCCTGTTGGCAACTTCAGCTCCAGGTTGGGGTCTGACCCTCTCTCCCCCTAGGTGGTGGGCTGAGGGGTCAGGCCTATTACGCGTTTAGCCAGGCTACAGTGCCTAGCAGGTATCTCCACAGGCCTCTAGAATGTGTCCAGTTTGCGGTGCTGTTAACAGGAAGCAGAGTCTCACACAGGTCTTCTGGCCGAAGCCCCAGTGAACACCAAGGGAGACCCTTGAGAGCCCTGCTGTGGCTAGACACTGGCTGGCCCACTGCAAGTCTCATACTACCTGTGAGAAAGTCTGAAACTTAGGGTGCGATGGGGTGGCTCTGCTAGATGCCTCCTCACCAGCGCTTTCATGAGTGCCTATATTAGCAATGTGCCTGTATTACTAAAGGGACAGGCTGTTCAATAAAACCTACAATTGTCAGGATGGTGTCTGTCCTGGGCTTTGACAATTTGTGTCATGGAGGTGCAGGTTGATAGCCCCTAGGTTCAGGACAGCTAAAGCTACAAGAGACTCTGCCTCAAGAACAAACAAACAAACAAAAAAAAACAACGCTGGGTGATGGTGGTAACACACACCTTAAATTCCAGTGATTGAGGCTATTATGTTTGATGCCAGCCTGGTCCAGGGCTACACAAAAAAAAAAAAAAAAGTGTGTAAGGATAAAGACCTGGGAAGGTCCTTCCATGTCCAGCAAGCTCCCAATAGGGAGTCACTCTTTCATCTTTCTTACAGATTTCCGCCAGCCCTTCTGGGTGGTTCCACGTCTCATCTACATGAAATCATCTAGTCTAACCACACTGGAAGCTGGTGTGTCTGTGTACTCGCACACATGTTCCCCATGAACTTTAGCATGGGAGTTCTTAGCTCTTACAGCAGCATCTGGCACTGCAGGGGTACTCAGTGGGGCGTGTGCCCACAGGCACCTCAGCTGCTCAAGTTCAGAGCAGTACCACACTTACCACATCTGCTCTGCCCTGTTGCCGTTCAACTTTGCCCAGCCAGTTTCTCCTCTTGGAACCTGAACATCACAAGCCAGAAGTTGTGGCTTTGTGGACAGGGTCAAAGCCCTGGAAAGGCAACTCTTGCATGTTGGCCTAGTGATATTTTGATAACGAAAAATGGGTCAACCAGACAGACTTGCAGCTTTTGAGAGGATCCTTACAGGAAATGTCAGGTCTTGGTTCCACCTATATCCCCCCCCCCATGTTCCTCACCTCCCCCCTGCCACAGACAGACACCTTTTTCAATATATGGCTCAGGATTTCTACTAGGTAGTCTAGCCTGAAACTGCTGCTTGAACAGCTGCTGCCCCTTGTCCCCATGGGCATTCTGGTCCTACTTTTCCTATTACCTACTTTCATGCCTTGTTTAATGTTTAGGAACTTCTCTTTAGTTTTCTGAATTTAATGTCCCATGTGCCCTGACTTGTTTATAGGGACTGCACCTCCATGGACTTTTTAAAAATTTGTAGGTCATTTCTTTTAGAGGGTGTGGTGGCTGCAGCAGCCCTGGTAAACCTAGGAAAACAGCTCACCACCACCACAGGAGGCCCTTGTGACCTTACAGCTACAGCTTTAATAGCTCTGCAGCTTCAGTGAAGCTCAGGATTAAGCACTGTTGCTACAACTGCACCAGCTGTTGCATGAGGCTTGGCTGCTCTATCTGTAGAGATGTGATGCACAATTTCCTTGTAATTGGCTAACTCTTCCCTGTACAAAGGACTTTACTCTACACTCCCAACCTTATACTTCTTCAGGTTTACTTTAAGTTATTTCAGAAAAACAACTTGATTTTCAAGTTGTGGCTCTGTTCACAAGCCAGCATGTTCCAGGGTGCTTCCTGTTTCCCATACGGTGTCCCACCCCATCAAGCCTCTAGTTCTGAAGTAAGCTGGCAAGAAAGACACCTGAGATGTCTGACACCCCATGCTAGACTTCCCCTTGGTGTGCTTATCTTATGAGTAACCCATTCTTCAATTCCCAGGAGGATCCTCTAGGAAGGACTCAACCAGCTCACAGGGCACCTATGGGATGGGATGTCTCCTTGATTCAGAGCACCCACACCCCACCTCCTGTTTCATGACTTCTCAGTCACCCCCTCCCAGCATGACCTGACCTTGGACAAGGAGTCAATAGGTCTTGAACCCGTGCCTTAGCCACAGCTCCAAACCTTCCTGGGAGCTCCTGCTTAGCAGGCACTCAAGGATAGCAGCATCTGGCTGTCATCACCATTCTAGACAGTTGAAGGGATGGTTGGACAGGAGCTACTTAGGCGTCTTTATTTCATAACCGTATCCTGGCCACACCAGGGAGAATTTAACCCAGTAGGCCTAGTGGGCGTGACTGCTGATACCCAGGAACCCACACCTCACACATCTGGAGATGCAAACCCAGCACTTAACTGACCCGGACCCTGTAGGGTCCCAGTCCGCCTGCACTAGCTACAGCAACACCTAATAGCCTGGTGAAAGTTGTACCCTAAGGACACCACACAACCTGAGTATGGGTGTACCGAAATGTACACTCAGCAAGATTTGTCCTTCTATATCAGTTTTCTCCTTTGGAGATAAAAGCAGGGTGAGAATGGGTTAGTGAGAGAAGTCAGACTTTCCCGGCAGGTCTACTGAACCCTATCCTGAGATTATATAAAAACCTAGTGGAAAGTTGAGTGTGATGCCCCACACCTATAATTTCCACAGGTACAGGGCAGGAGGCAAAGTGTTCCAGGTTAACATGGGTTAGAAAGAAATCCTGTCTCATACACACCCAACTCCGAACAAAACTAGGGACCATGATGGCTTCTGGGATGTGGGCTAGGTCTTTCTGCAAGTGAGAGTAGCCCTGACCATTCCCACCTTCTCCATGGGCAAGCTGGACAAAGCAGCTGCCAGAGATAGACCCCCATTTCAAGCAGGATGCCCTCCCATTCCACTTTGGAATGGGCTAACAGGCAAGCCTAGGAGTGGCCTCACTAGTTTGGAAAGGTCCCAGATCTGGGGTGGAGTGGGGGCAGGGCACATAAAGCTGCATGGCCTGTATACCCTACATTTGTCTCTGGATACCTACACTTTTCCAGACACAGAAGTTTGTCTTAGAGAAAACATAAAGCAAATAAAAGAATTAACAAAGCCAGCTCAAGCCCAGCATCAGTGGCACAGAGCCAGCAGGGGGCACTCTTCCAACACCAGGGGATGAACAGTTCCAAGACTGCAAAGCTGGTGCTTATGTGATGTCCCTCTGCCGTGGTGGCCGGTGAACATTCCGCACGACACACTTCACCATCCATTCGATGCCCTCTCGAACTCCTTTGCTGTGGAGACAGTATGTGTGAATCAGGGCTCGTGTGGCCATGAGAACTCTGCTGAGTGAGACCTCAACTCACCCTGTGAGAGCAGAGCAGGCCTGGGTCAGACAGTCTCGCCGGCCAATCTTGCAGGTACAGTCACTGAATGCAGTCTTGATGTCAGGAATGGAGAGGCAGGTCTGACAGGGGAAGTGAGACTCTTAGGAACACTTGCACCACCTAGTCCCATCTAGCTTGTTCACTTGGGCTTACCCAAAAAAATAAGTAGGGGTTAGCCTGCCCAGAGCTCCAGTGTCCCCAAAACCAGTGGTGAGGCTGCTGAACCTGGTCCAAGTCTTTGCCCAGGGCTTTGGGAAGTCTACAGACAGCTCTCAAGAACATTCTCTACCATTCTCAAGAACAGCCCCCAGAGCATCTACCAGCAGAACACTGTGAACTAAGTCAGGAGCTCAACTGCCAAGTGAGGAAGGGCCCATGGCCGGGGCTGAAAAGCCTTGGTAGTGTTCAGTGGCCTCTTTGTTCCCCTTTTCGTCTAAGGGAATGTCCTGTGTTCCTTAGCCAAGTACCAGAGACCTCTATTACTAGTGTTGGAACACAGATAGGACGGTGGGAGAAGTCCTCAGAAAAATGAGTGGAGAACAGGTCATGTTGGTTGTAACTAGATGTACAGGGCCTCAGAAAAATAAAGCTTCCTTTGCCCTGGATACTGGCTCCTATCATGTCCTCCATGTACAGAGCCCCCTTTGTAAGATGGTAGGGTCTTTGTGTGACTAGAGGTCCAAAGGGAAGTAGCACCTCATCTCAAGAGGATGGCCATTGTCTTCCCGGTTCCACCCCCACTTTAAAAACAAAAGACTTGGTTTTTATTGCATGTATGTATGTATGTATGTATGTATGTATGTGTCAAGGTATACACACATGAGAACAGTATCTACTAAGGCTAGGTGTCAGATGCCCTGGAGCTGCAGTCCGAGATGACTGTGAGCCAACTGACGTGAGCACTGGAAGGGCAGTGCATGCTCTCAACCACTGAGCTATCTCTGAGGCCCCCAAACCCACTTCTTTGAGCTCAGAGCTTTCACCTGGGTCTTGCTCTAGGCCCCATACTCCCAGAACCCATGGGGGCATCCACAGACACAAGCCCCTGGTCCTCCCTTAGGAAGAAGATGACATCTGCACTCTGACTATCCTCTAGTAGAACATGCCTGTTCTAATGGTGGCAGCTCCAGTTGACACCCATAGAGGAAATGAAGTTGGCAAGGTAGTATGAAGGAAGGTCCCAAGAAGGGCGGAGAGAGGCAATTGGGATGGACAGTACAGATACTAGATTCTGGAATCTGGAGGCATACAAGTCACTCTCTTTCCAATGGTGATAGAGGCCCTGCAGCAACTTTGTGGGGCTCACCTCCACATCCTGCTTGTTGGCCAACACCAGGATGGGGACACCGTCCAGTGCTTCACTCGAAACCACCTTCTCTGGGGAAAGCAGGAGAGATGGAACCTTGCACCATGTCCTGTTCATGATTGCAGGCTCTGCCCAGGCCCAAAGGTGTGTACAGACAGCTCCCTTCCACCCTTCCCCTCATATACTAGGCAACCCAAGCAACATGACTGAGGCTTTCTTGGCACTGGCATCCAGATTTAAGCTCAGCCTCTCTCAAGGCAAGTTCCAGACAAATGGAAAGGTCCAGATTAGAACAGTACACCACCCCCTGGCATGCCCCTCCCCACATTAATCCCCTAGATGTAGGTCTTCCCATTTTCTCTCCCTCCTAGAGTGACCATGCTACACTCACCAAATGCCTCTTTGGACTCTGATAGTCTCTCTTCATCAGTGGAGTCAATGACATAAATAACGCCGTGGCACTCTGCATAGTACTAGAAGGAAGAGGAGAAACTGGGGACTAGAGGGACTCACAGTTGGGTCAACTAGAGAGAGAGCCTGTGTCACACTACCAGAAGAGGCCCATAAGAGGAAGAGATAGGCAGTGAGTGGTGGGAACTTTGCTACCCAGGGCCACAATGAAGAAATGAGCAGAACCCAGTGGGAAGACCTGCTGGGAAGCTTTCTGGGGCTGATTCATGGTCAGGATCCATAGCACCTTTGAGGAAGGCTTGCTGACTCTAGCAGGGTGATCACCTTCCTCCTGCTCAGGGACTACTCCTGAGAACTCACTTGCTTCCCTGGCTACATGGTATTGAGAAAAGGATGAGAAGCAGGGCTAGAACTTGAGAAACCAAAAGAGGTTCATGGCTGAGGTCAGCACTGCCTATGAAGCTACCCTGCCTGAACAAAAATGACAGTACTGAACTCAGCCTTCTGCAGGCTGGCTGTAGACAGACCTGGGCTTTCAACAACAAGGGTAAGGAATGAACAAGCAAGATAAGCAAGATAAGCAGAGGGGATGGAGATCCACACAGTAATAGAGACGTGATATGAGCATCCATCCCAATCAGAAAAATAATGCCTGCCAATATGGGGCAAAAAAGCATATACTTGGCACTTCACATTGGGACCATGCTGGCTCTCCTGTTTCAGTAAGAAGTCAACACTGACTGGTAAAATAATGAGCTGCAGACAGGATAGGATGTATGTATACCACTGAGGTTGTGTGACAAGTAAGGAAGGAACACCTCACCCGGGCCAGTAAAACTCCTCCCCATCTGCACTTCCCATAGAGTACTAGAGGATAGTCCCAGGTCCCTTCTGCAAGGCCTTGCAGTCAGATTCATCTAAGACAGCTCCAGCCTTGCAATGGGCCTGGCACAGAAGCTGCCAGCTCTGGGGGGTAGGACAGTGGGTTAGTCTATTGCTAGAGGCCTGAGAGCTGGCAGGTCCTACTGTAGAGGTATTTATGGTAATATTGGATGATACAAGGTTTGCAGCAAGTCCAGTGAGTCAGCAGGCAGCACTAGCAGTTCCAAAGGTTGTTAGGAATGTCTTATGTGATTAAGCACAAGACTCAGGAACCAAGATGGGAGTGGCATACTAAATAAACCTCAATGGAGAAGTCACACCTGTAGCTATGAATGTGTGTTGCGGGGAGGTGCAGAGACCTGCATAATCAGCATAATGAAACACTCTCAGCTGGACAGACCAGAGGCAGACAGCCCACCTGGTTCTGCCTGTGTAAGAAGTTGTAATCTAAGCTTGGCATGTGTACAGATCTTTGGACAACAGCATTACTGCTTGGTTAGCAGAGTAGGTACCAAAGCCTAAGGCAGACATAAGCAACAGACATGGTAACCTGGTTTCTACCTTAACGTTCACCAGAGCACCACTCTCAAGAGCAACTTGTCCAACAGTGACACTGTGCTGGACTGAGGAGAGCAGTGTCCAGAGTGGCAGACCACAATTGTATCAGTATAGGTTCCAGTCTCCAAGGCCAATGGAGCCCCTACTAGGCATTTCCCTTTATAGGGCAGCATGGCTAAGCCCTATGAGATATCATCTCTTAAGAAAATCAGAGGGAACCTACATACATACATGTCTCCCTAGCAACAACATAGATTCCCTGGGCACAAGACACCAGGCCACAGTCTTATGTCAAGTGATGTCAGTAGAGGAGACTCAAGCCATAACAGGACAGCACTGGACCACACTACCCACATGGTAGCATTACTGTAGGATACCAGGTCCGTACAAACTCTCACAATGACAGAGCTTTCCAAGGTGCTATGTTCTGGTCAAGATACAGTTCCAGGAAGGCAGGACAAGAGGCCCCTCTTCCTGATGCTCCTAGTAATCTAAAAGCAACTCTGCTACACATCTTCACAACCTTGAGTACTGTAGGGATTGGGGGCTAAGGGAGAGTAGGTCCTGCCCACCAAAGCAATAAATGCAGCAGAGCCACTGAGTCTCCAAACACGGCTACCTAGTGGGCACGGTGGACTCCTTCTGCTCAAAGATAACTGTCCCTGATTGGCAGGAGACAGGATGATTCAGCCAGCCACCAGGAAGTCACATCATGGCCAAGAACCACAATGCTTCAACCAGTTGACAAGGCCGCTGTCTATTCTCCTCAGTGTGGGGTACATATCCAAGCCATGCAGATATTCACTCTAGCTGTTCATCCCAAAGAGTAGTGACTCCTGACTCAAAAGATGACAGGCTTGGGGTCCTAGCTCCCTGCTAAGCTCCCTGTCTGTGTCCCCCTGGTGATGACTCCAATACACATCTCGGTGTCCACTTCAAGACCTGACCTGTGACAAGACAGTCAACAATTGGTGTGATCCCCCACCTGTGTCTGATGTTTGGAGATGCCAATGTACATTACTGCCCTATGAATAGGCCTTTCCTCTGTCCAAACTGGTTGCCACAGAGACGTTTTGGATATAGGATAGATGCTACGTTCTTGCTAAGTTATAACAGTTAGAAACATTTTAGGAATGCCCAGGAAAGAATCTGGCCCACAGATGTAATACATTCCTTCTGGGAAGCATCACAGTAGCTGAAGCATCTGTGCTACAGCACTGGGCTGCATCAAATGGCCATGCCAACCCACAGGACAGGAGACTGCTGAAGGAAAGTCAAGGCTTGTTCTACTCAGTGCTGAACCTAGCAGTGCCAACATAGGCTAGGTGGAGGAGCAGTGTAGGAATGTACACAGAAGTCTCAGAAATGTCTAAAACCAATAGCCAAAGAAGAGGCAGGTGATATCTGCCTCTAAGAACATCCTTCTCAGATGTGGAAGAGGTCACCTGGAAGAACCATGACAAGCTAGAATGAGGCAGATAGACTCACCAGGAAACATAGGCTTTGTGCACTCCCTATGTGTGACCTCTTCCATTTCTATCTGCCTGTAAGAGGATAGGTTACAATCCTCTTACAACTCCCCAGTCAGTGCTCTACACTGACTACCTTGGTGAACAATGCCGCTTTCTTTGGGATTGAAACTGGCATCATCAGAAAAAGGTTGGGTATTCCCTGTGGGAAATTTTCTGGTGCTGCTTGTGTGGTGATTCTAGTCCTGGGTTTTGCCGGAGTGGGACCTTGGGGTAGGATAGAAGAGAGAACCTTTAGACAGGACCAGTGAGATGACCCAGCAGGTAAATGTGCTTGCTATGCAAGCCCGGCAATCTGACTTTGATCTCTGGAGCCCATGTAAAGGTGAAAAAATAGATTCATAGATTCCTCTTATTTCCACATGCATGCTGTGACAGGCCTCCCTCCCCCAATTAAAAATTTAAGAGAGAGAGAGAGAATATCTTCAGGGTAAATGCGGACAACAGGAACTCTCATGGGAGAAGACATTAAGAGGACCTATATAGAAAATACAGCATGGAGTAGACAGTGTGTCTTACCTTGTCCCACAAAGACTGTAGTTCTTCTTGTCCACCTAAGTCCCAGAACATGAGACGAGCCTTCTCCACGTCCACAGTGCCAACTGGGGAGAGGATAGAATGAGCTAGCTCTTGACCTTACTCTTTACAAAGTCCCAGCTCTTCTGGGATGAGGAAAATCATTCTGGTACCAATCCCAGCAGGCATGGACAGAGGGGCTGTGGTGCCTGCATCTCTAAGGGACTCCTAAGCTCATATTCCCCTTACTGTTTAGGCCCACGGTAGTGGTGATTTTGGATAGACTCATCCCCTTGTAGTTCTTGTTAAACCGCGTCTTTGATTGCTCCAAGAAGGTCTGAGGAAAGAAAGAGATGGTTAGGTACTGGCAGGTAAAGAAGTTTCTTGGTATCTTTTCTAAATATCCCTCCACACCCATATGCTTTGGGCGACTCCTTGCCTTTACCCATACACACAAGCACAAGAATCTCTGCCTGTTGAAATGCTCATCGGGAGGCTGGTGGCAACTAACCTGTAGTCTTGGGTAGGGGTTAGATTTCCAAATAAGACAACATAAGGCAGGGAATGGGAACTGGTGAAACAAGAGGCACCTACTGTCTTCCCAGCATTGTCCAGGCCCAGGATCAGGATGCAGTATTCGTCCTTCTGGAACATGTACTTGTACAGCCCCGAAAGCAGCGTGTACATCCTGCCCTGGCACCCTGAGAAATGTCAAGGTGTGTACCACGGGGATGGGCCTCCTGCCCGCTTCACCATCAGTCTGTCCTGCTAGTTTTCAAATGTGGAGCCTCGTGGCTCGTGACTCCTTGCCACCACCCCCACTCCCACCCCCACCCCAATCCCTGACCCTGCCTCCACCACCGACCACCCGCTAAACCCGGGCCACTCCCACTTCGGGTCATCCTTCTGAATACACCATCAGTCCTGAAAAACCCGTGGAGGCCTACCCTGCTCGGCCGTCCTAAGTCTCCTCTTTCCGGACCCCCAACTCCGCACTTGGAACTTGGACCGTCGCAGCCTCGAGGCCAGAGAGCGTCTGGGCAGCTACCAGAGGGGCAGCGCTTCTGCCGGCTCCGGATCCCCGCCGCTGTCGGGACCACGGAGCCTAGGAACCAGCTGCCGAAGCCGCTCCCGTCCCCCTACCCCAGGATTCTGGAACCCCGGTCCCCCCCCCCCCCCCGGTCTGACCGGGACCCACCTGCACCTGCTCAGACCTCGGAGCCGCAGGCGCCGTCGCCGCGTCTCAAGCCTCGCCGACCTCGCGTTGACCCCGCGCGGTGCCTGACGGGACACCGGCCGGCGGTGTGAGTACGGGCGGAGCCGCATCCCGGCGGCCCCCGCGCGCCCCGTCCTGGCGGCTCCCGAACGCAGGCACTTCCGGCAGCATCGGCTCTCGGGCGGAAGCGCCCGCGGCTGGCGGAAGGCTAGCGCGAGGGCTCTGCCGGCGAGGCCGGAAGCCCTTGTAGGCTGCGAGCACCGGCGGGAGGCGGGGCTGCGGGCCGCAGAGGACGCGGTGCGATACTTGCAGCTCCCTTGGCGGCGCCGAGGTCCTCCTCAGCCTCTCGGGCGGCCGGGGGCGGGGCGGCGGCGTCCTGAGCTCTGCTGACTGCTCTTCCCTCAGGTCTCGTCTGCCTTAGCGGTTCCGAAACTAGCCTGCGCGGTGTAGGGATGGACGAGGACAACCTGGAGACTGCCCTGCAGACCTACCGGGCTCAGCTCGGGCAGGTAGAGCTGGCTCTTGGTGCTGGCCTGGACGCCTCGGAACTGGCGGACCTGCGCCAGCTCCAGGGCGACCTGAAGGAACTGATTGAGCTCACCGAGGCCAGCCTGTTGTCGGTCAGGAAGAGCAAGCTGCTGGCTACAGTGGACCAGGAGCACCAAGCAGAGGAGGATGCTGAGTACTTGGCTTTCCAGAAGGCTGTGGCGGAGGAAGGGGAGGCGCCCGTCGCCCCCGGGGATGATTCGGAGACGGTCTCTGGGAGCGAGGTGCGGCCGGGACCCACCTCCCCTGCACAGGAGGAAGCCGTGGAGGATCCGGATCAGGAGGAGCTGAGCGGCGCTAAAGTGAATGCCCCTTACCACAGCGCGTGGGGCACGCTAGAGTATCACAACGCAATGGTTGTAGGCACTGAAGAGGCAGAGGATGGTTCGGCCTGCGTCCGCGTACTCTACCTGTACCCTACCCACAAATCCCTGAAGCCCTGCCCGTTCTTCCTGGAGGGAAAATGCCGCTTCAAGGAGAACTGCAGGTAAAGCCGTCTGCTACTAGCAATGAGGGGCACTCAAGCAGGACCACTACTGTGGCCTGCCGCCTTCACGACCTGTTCTCCACCCCGCAGAATTGATAGAAGGGCGAGCTTTAACAGAAGCGTTCCCTGTGTGTTTACTTACGTTTTCTTTCTTCCTCCTTTCTCTCTCTTTCTCTTCTTCTTTCCTCCCTTCCTTCTTCCCTCCCTCCCTTCCTTCCTTTCTATTTTTCTTTTTTTGGTACAGCTTTTCTCTGTGTAGTCCTGGCTGTCCTGGAGCTCACTCTGTAGACCAGGCTGGCCTCAAACTCAGATCTGCCTGTCTCTGCCTCCCAAGTGCTTGGGATTAAAGGCGTGTGCCACCACTTCTGGCTAAAATTTATTTTTGATTATGTGTATTTGTGTGGGTATGTGAACATGAGGACAGGTGCCAGAAGAAGGTGTTGAATGTTCTAGAGCTGGAGTTCCAGGTGGTCATGAGCTACCCAACATAGATCCTGGAAAACAAACTCAGGTCCTCTGCAAAAGCAGTATGCTCTTAACCACCAAGTCATTTCTGAAGCTCTATGTATTTATTTTTCTTTTTAGTTATGTGTATGTGTGTGTGTTTGTCAATAGGCATGTGTACTTGAATTCAGATGCCTGAGGAGGCTGAAAGAAGGAGTTGGATCTCCTGAAGCAGGAGTTACTGGCAGTGAACAACTTGGGTCTTCTCCTCAAAAACATTACATACTCTTAACCACTGAGCCATCTCTCCAACCTCCACAGACCACCTATGTTCCTTGGTTTGTGGTTCCCTCACATCACTTTAAGCTCTTACTTCCATGGTTATATCTATACTCTGCACATTTTATTTTTTTACTTTTTGTTTAAGATGGAATCTCATGTAGCTTAAGCTGGTCTTGAACTCCTTGTTCAAGCCAAGGATGACTTTGAATTCTTGAACTTCTTGCCTTCAACTCCTGCTTATACCCCCACCCACCCACCCAAGGACTAGGATTACAATTGCATGCTACCTAGCTTGGCTCTGCACATCTTTATGTTTTAGATCCCAGGAGACTTGGCATATCCCGTGCTCTCTCTCCTTCTCATGTCGATAGGTGCATAAGTGATCAATGTGCTCAATGGGTTTCTCCAAGAATACACATGTTCCTGTAACCAGGGGCTGCTTTATCTGCCATAGTTGTTTTGTGGGAAGCCCTGTGATGAGAGATTTAATACATCTGAGTGCGTTCTCTGATGGACGTATGCTCATTGCTCTGTGCAGGAACCCTATAGGTATGTGCACAGGCATATACCATATTGCTCATTTGTGGACAGCTTTTGAATGTAGGCTCTCTTCAACCATGTGGGTCCTGGGTATTGAATTTAGGTCTTCGGGCTTACTTGTCGAACTATCTTGTCAACCCCCACCCCATTTTATAGATGGAGAGACAGACACCAAGGCACTAAGTGATTGGTACAATGTTGCTGGCCCTGAGACCACTTCATTTGGAGCTGCTTTTAGTGCAGAACTAAAAAACTGTAAAAGATCTAACACCATCTTTACCACCATCCAAGACTAATGAGTTGTTTTCTTGAATTTGCTTTAGATTCTTAAAAATACATTTGAAAAAATTTTGAAGTATCTGTCTACCCCCAATTCCACCTATATTATCATAACTTTGGTATGTCTTTCCAGTGTATAATCTTCTCTGTAGACACATGTATTTGCAAATGGCATCTCAATAGTTGATCATTTTCACACATTTGCTAATATTAATCTCCATCTTCCTCCTCTCCTCTACAAAGTAAGTGAGAATTGTCCAGTCGCAAGTGAGAATAGAATGCAGACCTACCCTAAAATGGCACAAGTGGACTATTTACTGTGTGATGTAAAATAAATTCAGATATAGGAACTAGAGCATAGAGAACTGTTATAAAGTGAACCATAGCTGTCAAACTCAGATCACAGCTGTCATTTGCCAGCCACCCCAGATTCCTTAACAAACAAACTCAGGTTGTTTGTTTTTTGCCTTGTATCTCGGCCCCAAACAATCTCTCCAACAGACAAAACAACTTTTGGGGGAGGTGTGAGGGGTTTGTTGGTGTTTGGCTTTTTGTTGTTTTGTTTGTTTTTTGAGCCAGGGTTTCTCTATAGCCCTAGTTGTCCTGGAACTCCCTTTGTAGACAGGGCCTTGAACTCAGAGCTCCATCTGTTTCTGCCTCCTGAGTGCTGGGATTCAAAACTTTTATAACGAGTGCTTCTTGTGTTTCTGTAGCTTGTATCTCAGGTGTCACTGTGATGTAGACATCATAGTTCAGTACTGTCCATTTTCTAGCCCTGATTGTAGCTCCTCCAGGTCTTTCCTGCCCTTGCCCTGTCCTTATTGAAGAATCAGCCCGTTTGACTCATCAGTCAACATATATGCTAAAGGACCACACTTGTTGCTGTGGTTTCAGGGTATTAGCAACCAGATAACATCACTTGCTCAAACCCTGTTCCAATCCCACCAGTAAGACTAGGAGCAATTCATTTATCAGGAGGCAAGTTGTTTTTAAAGATTTTAAAGATTTGGGAGTCAGATGCTGGGGTGAAAACCTTGCTAGCTAAGAGAGGCAGAGAAAGCGCCCAGCTGCTTCCTCCTCTGTTGTCATCCCAGAAAGAGAGCTTTTCTCTCCTCATTCTCAAAAAACTGCAACTGGATCTCCCTCCCTTTTACTTCCAGTGCATCTCTCTCTCCCACCTCCTGGCTTACCTTACCCTCCACTCTCTATGATTACTTTGGTCAACTGGTTGATTGCTCTACCCCTTAACCTATGGAATGCTGTTTTTATTCTGTCCTATTTACAATAAACAGAGAGCTCTTGGATTAAGGGTATGTACTAGGGCCGAGCCACACCACAGCTAGAAGCTGTGAAGTCTCAGGGCTCAGTGTGATCAAATCCCACATTTCCCCCTTTTGTCTAAATAAAAAGGAAAGGTTTTAACACAGTAAAACTGTTTACACTCTTCCTGCCAGTCCTCTGAGGAGACAGCTGTCTCTCTTTCTTGCTCATATGTTTTCCCTCACTGTCTTGCCTTCCCCAATAAACTTTCCACATAAGTTTAAAAAAAAAAAAATGTTTACAATAATGAAGCTATTTCTGCCTAGCTTTCCACAGTGTCTAACTTCATTGTATTTGTCAGTTTTAGGATTAAGTATTTCTGAATTCAGGGTTCTGGAAAGTGTTGGTGTCAGTCTCACACGAAAACTCAGCAATTTGAATTTCCTGAGCAGTTTGTAGTCTGAAGCTGATCTTTGTATGGTGTGTGGCAGTTTAGTGGTGTTACTACAATCCAGGTGGATTCATTATTGCAGGGTTGTATTATCTTCTTGGAGACCTCAAAGGTGCCCATTGTTTGTGTAAGAACCTGGTGGCAGAAGAGGCTGGAGGTGGGTGCTGTCACTTAGCTTGTTGTGGTCTGTGGCTCCAAATCATCCCAAGTAGACACAAGAAGTTACAGCAAGGCAAGATTTAATGCAGAACAACACAAAAGAAGGGGGGAAGGAGAAGGGGCTGACCAATCAGGGCTATAGAACAAACTTGGGAGTTGAATTGTCACCCATGAGTTGAATCAAGTAAGCATAAAAATCATAAACATTTGTTGCCAAGTTACAAATAGCATTTTTCACCAGTCAGAATTTAGAGATTAGGGACTTCTTGAGTGTTCCATCCTTGTCAACCAGTATACAATGTAAGCCTGTCAGTCCAACAAATCAGATTCATTTGTTCTTTCTGTTGTTGGGAACAGCCCTAATGTTTTTAGAGAGCTGAAGTACATAACAACTATTTCATGTTCTGTAGGTTTTTGAAGTGTGTAAAGACCATCTATCTATTCAAAACATGTCTCTATTTGACTACCTAACATGACTGTAGTTTGTTATGGATGACTACTAACCTGTGTTTCTTTAATAACCTAGATAGCTTTCAAACACTAAAACTTTATATAATCTTAAAAATTAGCTGCAAAGGTATAATACCTTAGATAAGTAAAAGCTTATATGCAGTATAACAAAAATAACCTTAAATTTGTACCAATATACAAAAATCCATACCAATGTAAAATATTTGAGATTAGTGGTTGTTTATCCCATCATTTATATACTATATCTCCCTTTTTTCCTTCAGAAAAAAGATTTCTGAACTTAATCTCCTTTGTTTAGCTTTTTCCTTAACCATGACCAGTAATAATTTGTTTTTGTTTTGTTTTTTGTTTTTCAAGACAGGGATTCTCTATGGCTTTGGAGGATGTCCTAGAATTAGCACTTGTAGACTAGGCTGGTCTCAAACTCACAGAATCCACCTGCCTCTGCCTCCCGAGTGTTGGGATTAAAGGCGTGCGCCACCACCTTTGTAACCAAACCTCCTAAGTGATGATGACAAACATCCCATAACCCACCAAATAACCAAAGGCCACCTACCCACCCACCTCACCTCTTGGGAATGTGGGTGTTTTATTCTCTAGACTGTTCCCTGTTGTCTGGGTGTGCTGGCTATTTTAGGGGGCCCTGGGAAAATTGGGTTAATGGTCAAATCCTGGGAGTAACATTTGTTGTCCAGTCTTTTTGTAATGAGAAAGCATAAGACTTATCTGCAGTCCTGGCTAGAATAGTCTGTGAGGCTGAACCATCTCAGCCAGGAGCCTTGAAGCTGTTCTGGATGCAGAACTCTGAGGAGACTGCAACAGAGGCATCTGAGAGGCTGGGTCACCTGACCCACCCATTTTCCTTGCTCTGAAAACACATAAACTTTCAAAAGTAACATACGCATCTGCATTAACACAAGTATGAAACGTGGGGTGTGCACAGGTCAGTTAAAAGGTATTTTATTCTGTGTTTGAGCAGGTAAACTATACGTTAACTGTGTATTTGTTTTTCTAAGTTTATTTCTTTATGTCTACAGCCATGATTTTCAGGGGATCTCCCCTGATCAAATTTGACCTCTATCAACCTTGAATGAATCCACAGCCTTTTATTTTT